AGCTGTTTTTATCTACAGTAGCCCAGAACAGAGAAACCACACACTGGCTCTAGATAGGACCTTTGGTGTATTTCACAAGTTTCGTGACCACTGTAGTTTCTCCAACACGTTTGGAAGGGGAGGGTGAAGCAATGGGGTTGTGATCTGCAACTACACCACTAGCTGCCCCAAAATCCGACACCACACTGAAACTTTGCTGCCTGCCCTTGAGTACAGTCTCTCTATAGAGTTCTTTCTCCTGATTGGTTAAAGTGTTAACAGGATACCAGAAAACGTATTCTTTGTAAAAAAAAAAAAAAAAAAAGGAGAGACTAGGAAACACTGGCTGAACACTATACCAGGGATGGCTGTCGGAGTGTAGACCTATTTAAAACATTTTGGGAGGTCCAGTGAGGGAGAATGTTGGAGAAACTACGGTGGCCGTGAAAAACACGAAAGGCCCTATCTTGTCTTTTCTGGGCTACTGTAGAAACATGGCAGTAAGAAGTCGACCTGTGGTGTCTTTAGATAAAAACAGCTCATTCTAAGGTTACGCAAACACAATGGTTCTTATATTGAGGTGATTATACACTAATAAAACATACCTAAGAATATTATATTCCATTTCTGACAATAGATCCTCCTAAAGGTTACACACTGCACTTACAAAATACAGCAGCTTTAGGGTCCACTTGATGTAAGTAGGAGATTTTTTTTAAAATATCAAACTGTTTCAAAGATCAAGAATGTGTCTGATTTGATGATGGATGAGTGATGCATGGCTTACACGCAGGCATGATGGACACCTCAGCAGTCACAATACTCTTCACTCCCAGGTTGGACAGAGCTCCTCTCACCAGACCACAGGTGAAGGCCAGATACTGCAGGGAGACAAACATGATGAGTGGGAGTGTCCTTACACAGTCCACAGCATCAAGACAGATACTGTGTATAATCTATATAAATCCTGAATAATGTGTGTTTGCTTTGGGTGCAGCAGCTGTCAAAATAGCTGGACAGCACTGTGACTGATTGACCTGCAGAGAGCACAATTTACAGCCAGTAATATCAATGAATCAGTGAAGAGTTATTCAAACTGCCTCTGAACCCGTTTTATTCCTTGTGGAGAAGAGGGAAGGACACTATACATACTATGCTACTAGGCTCAAAATGCTTCAATAGCCCTATTCCCAAACACAGGGTCAAGAAATCTAGTGAGATTTATGTTGATTGGACAAATAGTTAATGAGTTACGCCACATAACTAACCCTTTTCAAAATAAATATAAATAATAAATGATCACACAGATAAATTATTGTCCAATAATGGGATTAATTCATTACTACTGATATACTTTGTTTTATGAAAGCCAAAGTGTGATTGTAAAGTTTTTTGATGAACTTTGGTAAAAATAAACAAATTAACATTTGAAGAGTCAGAACTGTTGTTTGTTGTTGTGGTTGTTGTTGTTAACAATAATTATGTCACTTAGACTTGTTCAGAACAGAGCTATGGAGTATTAAATCATTCGTCCTTGTTCACTACATATTACCATTAAGTTTGTAAAAACTCCTGGTTATTAACTTCTTTTTCAAACATCCTGATTAAAAGTTGTGCTATTTGTGCATGTACATTAAAGGGCGTGTCCGTGGCGTGCCGTCAAAGTTGGCCAGGTTGAATCGAATCTCAAACTGTGATGCCATTTCCGGCATTTATTTGTTTTTTGGTCATTTTCTGTGAATCTTTTCGCCGTTGTATTGTAAAACGAACTCCTACCGTAGGGTATTTATCGGATCTGCTTTCAAATTTGGTCAAGATACAGTCCATAAACAAACTGCGATGAGAAGTTGTGCTATTTGTGGACTGGTACATCACTAACAGCGTTCTCGTGGTGTTTTGACAATGTCGCCATAAAACAGATAGTACTCTGAAGTAAATTCACATATTCTTTAAACAGTCCTGTGATAGCGCCACCTACTGGCCTACTTTTGTGTCTGAAACGCATGGTGACGTAGAGTGGTCTCCCTCGGCTTCCGACGATGAGGGCTTGGGCGTGGGGCGACGCAGCGTGGCGTTGTGAGTTGATGGCGAGGTCCCGCCCAACAGCTTTAATTGTTGTTATCATTGTTGTTGCTATTGTTATTAGTAGTAGAAGTAGTAATTTCTACTAGTATAGGTGTTACTGTTGTTATTGCTGTGCATCTCTCTCTCTCTCTTCTCCCTCTTCTTCTCTCTCTCTCTCTCTCTCTCTGGCAGTATCAACTGGTCAAGGCAGACGACCACCTACCTACAGCCGGGGTCTGCTCGAGGTTTCTGCCTCTCAAAATTACGTTTTTCCTGGTCGCTGTCACCAAATGCTTGCTCACGGAGTATGGTCTAGACCTCCTCTATTACAAAAGTTTCCTGAGATAACATTTGTTATGATTTGGCGCTATACAAATAAAATTGAAAACTGAAATTGAAATTGAAAAGTAACTCGGATACACGGTTCAAGGGACTAAATTACAGGCGCCACCATCTGGTCGATTGGGCTCAAGTTTAATGGGAAGCCAAGCTTTAACTGCTTGGACACCTGATAAAAAGTAATTGGACAGCACTTATTCAGTAATAAAAGACTGGGAGGACAAAAAATGTGATCAGGACATCCGTGCAACTGCAAGTAAAATAGGGGAAGTTCAATTCACTGAATTAGAGTCTGTAGCGATGTGAAGCCCTGCTGATCAGGGTCCTCAAAAAAAGAAATAGTTTGAGAGGAAAGACACCCTTATAGAACTGATCACTACAGAGTCATACAGTCTACTGAAATCAAGACAGAGCACCTTTGGGGCCTGATCCAGATACTGTTTTCCAGCTGACAGCTGACCCAGTAATCTGAACTTGTTGTCCTGGAGAACATAGATGCCCTGAAACACATGACACCAGCATCAGCACTGACAGACAAAAACACACCGTACAGCTGGTGACAGGGTATATAATATAGTGTTTAAAGCTAAATCAATAGTTTTAGCTTTTTGAGCCCTTCTGGCTCAGAGTGCATTCTGTTGACATTATGTTAATGATAACCTACTGTACGAATGAAAGTGACTGACAAAGAGCTACCTGGTGATTGGTTCGAAGGTTGTCAATCTGCTTCTTGAACACACAGGTCCAGAAGTCTTTACAGATGAACTTCATTATGTCCAGCTCGTCTTTGAACCGTGCTGTGTCTTTTGTCAGTCTAGAGGAAAGGAAAAGCTGTTCAAATGAAGACCAGAACCATGGCACTGTTTGTACAACTGGTTCTTGCATGAGGCTGGATGTGTACCACTAGAGATTCCTTTATGGTTATGAAATAAACATTGTGGCTCACTGATGTGCTTTCAACATTTTTTAACAATGAAGCTGTATTAAGAAAGAGATAAATCAAGCTTTAATCAATCACAATGATACTTGTTAGTAGATGGATAGGGTTAAAAGTTACCTACTGCAGCTTTAAAAGGTAATAAAATTAGATTATATCAAATTATCTAGTTCTGTCTGTTCACTTTTTGTAAAGTGTATGGAGGTCTATAGCCTTACTATTTAATCAACAATGAGACTATGGCTAGTTTAACCCGGTCCAATATATTCTGAGACCGGGAGAGTTTAAAGAGGAACACATATTAGCAGTTAGCTTGTTACCTCTCTATTAGCCCTTGGCCAACTCTGAACCCCATATTCTCCAGTTTGGTGATATTTCTTCCATTCTCCTGTAAGAATAAGAAGTGATGCGAAAACACAGTTAACCATAAGTAACTGTTCATAGAGCTGCTAACTAGAAAACTCTCTCAGTTTCTTACCGTCTCTCCGTTTTTAGCTGACTTGTAAATGTACTGTATGACTTCGTTATGTAAAATCTGAAAAGGAGCTTCGTCTGCCATTCTTCCTCTTGAGTCTCTGGCAGCTAGCTCTGGTCTGTCAGCGGCTGTTCACCGTGTCAGCTACACTGAGCCCGACATTATTAGCACACAGACGGACAGCTGAAATTCAAAGACAGATCCGTGTACAGTGTCCGTATCAGACATAAAAAAAAAACACAAACACTAAACAAACGTTTTCCTTCTTCCTGTTTACCGGCAACGGGCGAGGTGCTAGCAAAGAGCGCATTACTGCCTCTTTACTGCCACCAGGAGGCCTGGAGTTTGAACTGTGACACAAAATTAAATCATTAAAGCTGCAAGCAGCGTTGGGCGGGAACTCGCACTCCACGCAAATCGGGGCGTGCTGCGGCCGCGTCACGAGCCGT